CACTGCCAGAATTCAAGAGAAACTTCGAAGCTTCCCCGCACAACTAACTTTGTCTTGAAATGTATCCACCATATTTGGTTTGAGGTGATGAAGGACTGGTAGATGAATTTCCCCACAAACCGATGAGTAGACCTGACGCCCCAATTCAATTTCGCATAGCCTTACTTTCCCGAAAGGTATTTTTCTCCTGGCCGGAGAGGACTGAAGTTTCGCCCTCGCCTCGAAGGGTATCATCAGCGGCCCCAGCGGGACTCGAACTATGACAGTGCAGCGTGCCCTTCGGTCACAGGACATAAATTTTTCCCATATCCCATTCTGTAAGAGAATTGTCGATGAAGCAAATTTACATTTCTTCTATAACATTCGACTGCACTACTCATTTTTCGCTTAATAGGCAGTCTCTTGAGACTAGCAGGACATGTGAAATTGAATGATTGTGACAAAATTGCACCCCCGGTCTTTGTATCACCTTAAACGGAATAGAGCGAATACGTCTTAAATGCATGGATTAAGACGTAAGTCCATAAGCAGCTCTTGTTGAGGTAATGAGCTGTAAGCTTGTATGTGTGTAAATGAGCTCACTAAACCCCTCGTTATAACCTGTCTTGTTGACCAAATGTTAACTTGCCACTTTGACAAGAATGAGTTCCAGCTCTGTTGATGGCCATCATTTGCTAGACGCAAGCTAAGTCTGCTTTCGCCTGAAACGAGAGAAGATGTCTCGTGAACTGCGTCGATCTTCCGACGAGATCGGCCGTTGAATCTCCTCTTCACACAGGTTCCTACAAACTGAACTTCTCGCCAACAATGATATCATTTGATAGCCGGAGAGTGGTGAACGATGGACGTCAAATGAAACGAAATGTTTGGACATGTCTCAAGAGAAAACATTACGATCGAGGCATCGGGGTCCACTACTTCTGCGCCCAGATCAAGCATGATGAGGCAAGAAGCGGTCACTTACAAGACTCGTCCATTTGAAGGCTCGGCACTCTCGACGTCTTGGAGAGAACGCGGATGAAGACTCGAGAGACTTGATTGCACGATCGAGACGAGCCGGGCACTGTGGACAGGCAATGGGAGAAAAGGGTTGGTGTGTGAGTGCAGTGGGAAAAAAAGGGAGAAATAAGAGGTAGAATAAGAATCTAAAGTCGGCAGCATAACTCGGCGTACAAATGACTATGTTTGAGAAAAGCATCTGACCGCGGCTGTTCTAGAATGCCCTCCAGATTTTCCATCCTCTTCCTCGTTTCGTCAGTCCTTGAAACTGCACGAGTCGAGGAAGAGGTGGCTTGTTGGTGGGGTCGAACAGACTAAAGCTTACAAAGTCGGAACAGAATCAGTCCGGCAAAAGGGTCAGCGGCCAGTGATGGTCGAAAGAAATGAAGGGAAGTTAACTTTTGAAGAAACCCTTAATTCACCTTGACAGTACAATCCAGCAGTTACTACTCGAAAGAAATATTTTTCAGTTTACGATAAGGTGGATTTACGAATTCCCTCCAGCTTTTATTCATAATCAAAGTTTCAATCTTTCCCTCGCCTAAGCTGGCTCATGCTTTTGTTGAAATCAACTTTACTTGCAAGTCTGCTTTGAGCTCAAAGTTTCCGGTACCATTCAACGTCGCAAAGACTGATTGAGCAGGCATTCTCCAATTCAATGACTGTGTGTGTATCCTGTGAAGCCCGGATCCGCGTCCACAATACGCCCAACACAGACCAAAACATCAACTTCACGGCCGCCTTTTCGACCCTCGCTCCGCAATCGAGGACTTCAGAACTCTGCGACCAAATGCACCAATTGGCCCTGGCAAGTCTGAGAGTGGTTCTTTAAAAAGTGAATTGCGTAAATATCAAAATAAAATCAAGAAAATCCAACTTCAAACTGGCTGACGACATACTTGCAACTTGATTGCAATTCGAGCTGTCAAGAATGCGAAGAAAAATTGACCTTCGAGCAACCATTCGGCTTACTTCACTCTCAATTAAAAGTGTTTGATGACATAGAGTTGCCCTACTGCAACC